AGAGAAATTTAGCATTACATCACTTGCTCACCAATATGTCCTCTGCAGTGAATGGGTGCCATCAGAATTAGAGTTAAAACATCTGAAAAACATTACAGTAATCCACAATTAATCTGTGGGACTCCAGTCCATCATTAAGGCATTTAAACCATAATTTCTGGCCAAAATATGAGCACATAATCCATAATTATGGAGTTATGGAATCAACGGTTTGAAGTTAAAATGCCTTGATGGATTTGTATATTTAAAACATGCAGCTTTTCATCTCACAAGACATTAAATTATGCACTTTAGCCGTGTTGATTACTTATGTTTTTATCAGCTTTTCTCATTCTGATGGCACCCATTCACTGCAGAGGATCCACTGGTGTGCAAGTGATGTAATGCTAAATCGATCCAAATCTGTTCTGATGAAAAAACTAACTAATCAACATCTTGGATGGCCTGAGGGTGAGTAAATTTTCAGTAGATTTTTAAATTATTTTTAGGAGAACTATTCCTTTAATTATATTGTGTGGTGGTGGCTTCATTTGAGATGTTGTAAATGTAATTATACTAACTGGCTCTAGATGGCAGTGTTGGATTTTAAATGGTTTCCAATTTCAGGGTGTTGAACAAGAACTAGATTCACAAAGACGATGATACACACAATGATAGGTGTAATTCATTCAAAGTTGGCTAAACAATGTCGAAAATGTATGTTTTGAAAGAATGTCTACTGTACTTTTCCCACAGACCATCACAAGTGCTTTGAAACACGTATGTGAAATACTCACAGAGGACCCCGAGGGTGGTGCAGCCCAGATTCCTTTTGACACATTTCAGAGTCTGTACACATACTTGGCACATCTGGATGGAGAAATTCCTAATGAACAGATCGACAGCTTCTTGCATAGTTTAGAGGAGTATGCGTGAGTACACACACAAATGCATTCAGCTTAATTTACCGCAAAACACTGTCTTAAAGTCGTAAAACAAATTTAAAGTATTATTTTTAATGCTACCAGTTTAATGGTTAATATTTTTTTTCATATTACCCTGGGAAAAAACTAAAGAAAAATTGTATGATCAAAGGTGCCCAATTGTGGAGCAAAAAATGTGAAATACTCAATCATTCTGACAGCAGGTCGTTTGAGACAAAATGAGCAATAAGAGGCTTTATTGAACGAAATAGACACATTTTTGAAGGTGACAATTTCTTTTCTGTTTTACCTTTGTTGCCAAAGAGGTCTTTTAGGAGGACAAGTGATAAGGAATAAAATTAATGGCTTTGACATTGCTCCTTGAGGCATCTTCAAGACTTTTTTGTTAGAATTTACACCTGTGAAAATACAAAGCCTTCTGTTGTTTCTTTCTTTGAACCAAAAAAAACTGTTCTATATTCAAAACTACTTCAAACAATAATTGAGAAGGTACGGACATGATTTAAAACATCACGTGATGTAATAATTGCATAATACAAGACAAAAATCTGAACCATTATTTTCTTTACACTTAAGACAATTCAGTCTATAACTGCAGAAACAATACCAGAAATTATCATTGCACTATAAGAATTTGTGTCCTGTGGGTAGTTTTGTTGTCATACTTTACCAGCACACCAACAGCAATCATCTTTATAAGTTGCATTCAAAGAAACATGATTTTATCCCCTGTATTCTATTTTAGCTAAATGTTTTTAAGACATTTTAACTCAGTTCAACAGCTTAGCACATATTATCTATTTATCTATTTTACTATTAAAGGGGTCATATGATGTTGCTAAAAATAACATTATTTTGTGTATTTGGTGTAATGAAATGTGTTTATGCGGTTTAAGGTTAAAACAACACATTATTTTCCACATACTGTACATTATTGTTTCTCCTCTATGCCCCGCCTTTCTGAAACGCATCGATTTTTACAAAGCTCATCGGTTTGAAAAGCGAGGTGTGCTCTGATTGGCCAGCTATCCAGTGCGTTGTGATTGGCCGAATACCTCAAGCGTGTGACGGAAATGTTATGCCCCTTACCATATTGTGATGCCGTGTCCCGGCCGGACGAGACAAAAACATTAAAACTCATTATAAACAAGACATTTGTTGCATCCAGTGGGGACATAATTACAGATTATAAAGACTTATACTGTCTTTTTACGCATTGCATTGCATCGATATCTCTTTGGATTTGAGACTTTAGTCTTTGCAACTTTACAGATCTTCTTTATGCACCAAGAGCTTGTAACACTCCAAAGAGAAAGGAAAAATTTAAATCGCATCATATGACCCCTTTAAGACTTGATAGCAATTAATGAACAAACTTTGCTTGAATCATGTTATCATGACTGACCACCAATTCATCTTGATAGTAAACATTCTGGTCAAAAGCCTATGTACAGTATTGTTATATATTTGGCTGTCCCAGATTATTTAACTGGCATTTCTGCTGTATGACTTTACATGTTATAAATCAACCTCTTTATAATTATTACAGTTTTAGTACAAACATTAATTTAGTCTAGTTAATTGGCATGCAGACAATACATCAGTAGATGCTTTGTACTTACCAGTTCTGCTTGGAAGGACATTTAATATGTTTTTTCATAGGGTTTCAGCACTTTTAAAGGCTGAAATGAAAAAGACCAACTGACACTTTTGTAATTTATGTTATTTAAATTATGAATTTAAAAAATGGACATGGACTGTCACAGTTGGTACAGTGTAGTAGATAGGGCCTGTAAGTATATTGAAACATTTTTCAAAAGATCATCTTTTGTGTTTAACAGAAGATAGTCACAGGTTTGGAATGACATGAATGTGAGGAATTTTCATTTTTGGGTGCATTGTCCCTTTAAGTCTTAACAAACTGATGTAACTGTAACAACAGGAAAACAGAAAACAGTCTTTTTCTGCTGCTTTGCATGTCTGTATGTGTGTACCAGTCACTGATACCACTAAACCAACCCTACCTTACCACTGTGCTTTTTTTAACTCTCAACAAACACAGAAGCAAAGTAAATGTTTGCTTCTGTGTACATGAAGAAGCTCAGATCTTCAATGTGATAAGACAACTACAAATTAAACTCCAATTCAAAAGAATTCTTATGAGCTGGTTCTTATCACATTTACCTATCTTTATTACAATGTCATACAAACGCTAATATCTATTAGTATTCCTAGAAACAGGATCTCTTGAGAAAAAAAGTAGTCCATTCCTGTGAATACGCAAATGTTTGGAAGCATGTTAGTGAGTCAATATTACAGACACTGAAGCAAGAATAAAGAAATGTCACAAGTGTGTGTTTTAGAATAATGATGATAAATCTAAAGCAAATGAAAGTAAAAGAATTGAAAAGAGGATGTTAGTAAACAATTAAAAAGCAAGAACAGTTGTTTCAGAAGATCCGGCCGATTTGGATGCAGCAATCTCCTGTCATGCTGAAAAAACAGATTATACATGACATTTGTAGACATTTAATTGGAAACTTTGTTTTTCCTGCTTTCAGAGAATGCCAAGGAGGAATGGTGCAACCTTCAAATTTTACAAGCCTCCACAGTGCTGAGAAGCCTGAGTAAAATCCAGTACAAATGGTCCTCAGGTGGTGATATCTCACAACACGCTCGAAAACTATTGATCCTAGTTACTGTCTTGTGTTTGCCCTCTTTATCCTGTATATTATGATGTGATTTGATTATTTCACCCAAATAAATCCTTGAATCTCAAATCTAGCTTGCCTGGAATAATGTTGCAAAAGTGAAAGAAGACAAAACAAGGCCACTGGAATATTAGGTGCTTATGCAAGCGATTTACAGTTTTCCCATTGATACTATAGGTTGGGGTTTTCAAAACCCTATTACCTCACTTATTGTGGTTTTCATGCACTTCTATTTGAAAGAAGCCATATTCTGTATGTACTTTAAACATTCACACATACTCTTTTTATATTAGAAACAATGACATGAACTACTAAGTCCCATTTTTGTCCTTGCATTGTACTGCACATTTGTCTTGTGTTTCAGAAAAGCAGTGGCACTGCAGCAACAGGCAACAGTCACCCAGTTAGTCTGATTAATTGCCTTTTTGAGGATGGAAAGAGGCTGTGTACTAATTTAGAAAACCAAAAGGAGCTACTCAACCTTCACAGACCTGTTAATGAAGGCTATTCTCAACATTTTCTCTGAAATTAACTGATTGACCCATCAGTAATCAAGCTAATTATAGATTGACAGCCTTTTCTGAATGATGATACAGTCCCATTAGCAAGATGTTGTTTGCTTTTTTTATGAAAAAAAAATATATATATAAATATTAAATAAATATTTTCAGCAAGCATAGCAATCTAAAACGGTTTAAAATTAGAAACTGACTCAAAAATCATGGTTTGATACAGACATCTCACCAGGACAGTTAATATCAAAACTTGCTGGTCAAAGATCTATTCTAAGTGCTTTTGGATGATTTACAGTAGATACCAGATAAACTTTACTCAGCATGAAGTTCTCCCTTCTTGATCGGCTTCTGAGGATTTATCAGCCTAAGCAGGCCAGAGTGCTGAGCTAATGTAATTGTCTAAGCCAAAGTAGCCAGGGAGCAGCATGGTATCTACCATTTCTAAGAGAGATGACAGTTGGTTATAAAAACCCCAACCTATTAGCACTTACAATCATGCTTCTGTTGAAATTTGTTTATTATTTGAGATGTAAAGATATTTTAATCATCCTTTTTAACAACCATTTTGGGGGTTTAGGGTTTGTGGGGTTTGGTTGTAAAACTGGAATTTGTAAAATTTAATATAACTTTACAGAAAATGTTAGTAAGTGATTTTTTCCCCCTTAAATGATGTTAACACTCATGCTGTTCATATCTTGTGGCTATAGTTCTGAAACAGTATTTTGTTTATGGATTGGCCTCATTCACTTCCACTGTAAGCCCCTCACTGTAACCCAGATTTGTAAAATTTAATTATTTATTTAAAAGGACAAGTAGAAATAATTTTTTTTGTGGTAATCAGCATTATGCCCCAAATGCTATCAATTGTAAAACGGATAAATATTATAAATATTATAATTAATATTACAGGGCTACCGCGTAGTATAGTTGTGCAGAGTATATAGTAGAATATACAGGACAGAATGGAGAGTGAAATTCTGCAGAAGTGCCATTGTGTCACTGACTGTAAAATGATAGTCATGCTTTGGCAGTTAGATAATGACTCATTTTTGGCAGTACAGTTTACTTGGTTGGTTTTTAAAACCAACAGTACTTCCTCTATAACAGATGTGTAACGGTCGAACACGAGCATACAAAGCAGTGTGGACTGCTGCACTGTACGTATGTTTGACTGATAAGATCACAGCTGCAAGTGAAGGGGATGGAGCCCCAGCTCCCCGCTGTTCGGGGCCAAATGACTCACTAACTAGTCACAGCAATAGGCACTTATCTTAGAACTCCAAGGAAATGGGAGTGTTTGTGTCTGAGGATTGTGGAAAAAGGTTGAGCTTGTAATAGAGCACACACATTAGCACACAACGTCTGTGTGTGTATGGTGTAACTTCCCTAAAAAAGGTGTAAATCTGAAATTGCTTGTTTTCAGAATTGAAATGTGAATGACATCATCTGAAAAGAACTGTAGCGAAGAGAGCTGAGATGACTATGAGACCATCCAAGGTTTTGTTATATGTGAAGTCTAACAAAGGACCAAAAGTGTCAGAAAGTTGATTAATTACTCTGGTATACTGTCACACAGGGACATCCCCAACACAGTCACAAGCACTGAGCAGAGAAAAAAAAAAAACCATGATGATGGTATACAAAACTTAGTACTTTCCAGAAATAACAAGTTTAAGCAGCTTCTTTCATATAAAGAAATTAAATGAAGAAGATATTTATATATTTAATATATAAAAATGTATAAATTTAATATATTTTTTAAAAAGGCAGAAAAAAATATTTCCAAAATGTTTTTTTTCTTTCGCTGTCGCTCTTTTCATTTTTTATTTTTAATAACAAATGACAGTTACATCACCTAGACAATTATGACCTACAAAAATATCAAAATAATAAAAGGAATGTACTTTTCATGAGAGAAAAGTGTTTTATGTCATTTTAAATATTAGTATTTTAGTATATTTTTAAATAACTAATAGTTTAGGGAAGAAGAAAATTGTCATTGACCCATATATGCAAAAAATATATAAAGGGAGGGAGGAAGAAAAAGTAGTGTGTGTGTGTGTGTGTGTGAGAGAGAGAGAGAGAGAGAGGGAGGAGGGCATCTAATAGGATTATAGAGGCAGAGTTTTGTAACGCACGCGTCTATTTCTCACTTATCTTCTGCGGGGAATGTCCATCGCTTCCACCCTCAATGCTGTTTGTTTGGAACATCACAATATCTGAAAAGTTTCTCCAGGAAACAAATTGCGACATTCTGAAGACTTTCATATTACAGGGAACTGCAAATCTACTTGTTTTCGGTTTCCACATGCGTTTCTGATCGTCGCCGGGTGCTGCTGATGAACACTACATTGACAGTGGCGTTATAGAGTCAGCAGTTATCAAAATGAGCTGATAAAACTACGGTACGTTATTATTACATGGACACCAATTGCACTTGCTTTGAGTGGGGGAAAATGAAGTCGCGGATACCCAAAAGATTTGAACCTCCGTTTGGAGATTAAACGCTTTTTAAAATAGCATTTTTGCTCGTTTGGTATCTATGATTTTAACGTAGACTACCTAAATGCAGCTGAAGGAGACCAGGAGGTGACTTGAGGATTTTATCCTATTGGGGTTAAATGGTTCTGATAACGGACAGCAGGGATGGCGGAGGATCATCTCCAGGAAGGGTTAAACCACTTAGACATGCTAAAAGCGCCCCGATCTGTCCCACTATCGTGGAGGAATCACCTGATCGCGCGGGCGATGACGATTATGATGAATATCTTGGCTCGGTTGAGTTGGATGAGGACTTCGAGGAGTTCGATGACTTCTCTGAACTGCCGGATAACAGGAGTATCGTCTCAGATGACTCCTTTTATCCACCGGACGATGACTTTGTTGACTCCGAGAGAACCCCTTCCCCGGAGAGTCCCGCACCGCCGTCCTTTTTCCAAGTGTGTTGCAACAACAACGCGCTTATAGTGAAACTCATGATTAGACAAGGTGTTACGGAGGAGGACGTCCAGGAGACGGACAAAAACAATAGAGTAAGTAGTTTAGGAATATCAGACACAAATTAAATTAATAATTAATTACTGTCACACTTTACAGTGCAGTACGCATTCTATATCGCATGCTACAGGTAAAGGCGAAGTATTTAACAAAGATGTGAACGAGTCGTTCTCTTGAGTCGGATTTTTTTTTTAATTTAAATGATTGAACAAAACCGGTCTGAACGATTCTTTTACGAACTGAATTGAATCAGGGGTGTGCGAGCCAGTCAGAGAAAGTGGACCTTTTCGGATCTGTCCGATAATCCAAATTAAAGGGATATTTCACCCAAAAACAAAAAAATTGCAGTATATTTACTCAACCTCAGGCCATCCAAGATATAGGTGACTTTTTTTCTTAAGTAGAAGAAGAGTAAAGATGATTTTTTTAGCTGAAACCATTGTCCATGGTTATTCAGAAAACGTAAGTAAACGGCTACCGGCACTTTGACAAAAGTAATACCCGTGGCTCCTGGTGATATCTTGAGGTCTTCTGAAGCAAAATGATCGGTCTGTGCAAGAAACTGAACTTTATGTTTAATAGACTTCCATATTCTGTTAACCTGGTCCGGTTCAAGCGTTTTGCATAGGCTATGCTTTGTTAAATATGAAGCAGTTTTACTTAAGATGCCTTCAAAGTAGATACCCAAGATTATCATAACCAATGTCCAACACATATGGAGAATGATATCTAAAAGTTTTTTATTTTGATTCTTTTCACTAACATTTGGATATAAAATTGAATAAAACGTCAACAATAAAAACAGCTAGCTAGTTTAACTGATTATCTTAAAAGTCCATAGATATCGCTATTATTTATTACGGCTGTTAGCACGTTCTCCGACAAGCGGAAGCGATGGACCTGTTTTCCGGGTTTGGTCAGGTGACGTTCGACATATACCCCATTGGCCTCAGGCAAACGGGATGTCTTATTTTTTACAGGAACTGGTTCTTTCGGACAGTTCATTTCAATGAACTTGTTCAAACAACTGATTCACCAGATTGTTACGTACACAATGACGTAACATTTAAGCAATTATATTATTAAAGCACCCAATAAGGATGTGAAACGCCAATGTTTACTGTACATGTCTAAAGCATATAAATTGATTTAACTAGACTTAATCAACTCGCCTTTTTACATAAACCATGAGAAACCATAAAAACTTTTATTTGGCTCCTTCATTTAAGTGCTCGGTTCACGCATGCTCAAATCAGCAGCTCATGGGTTCTCCAGTCTGAGTCTGAACCGTTTCCTCAGTTCAGTGTACTGTAGGAGTAACTGAAGTACTAAATGAGTTGGCAAGAACCAGCATCAGGATCATATACACTGATATATTGGCTCATTTCAATTTGGTGTGACTGTCGGCCACATCCAAAAGTGAGTTTTGATTGAGCAACTTGTAGATCTGTCCTGGCTTGAGCTGTAAACTGATTAAGATAGTTCAGTCCCATTGGTAAACTGGTTAAAATAATGATTTGATTGTGAACC